CCACGCCCCGCCACGGCAAGCAGAGGTCCCGAAGAAGGCGCCCCTCGGCGCCCTCGCACCCCGAGCTCCTCATTCCATCCCTGTCCTTAGGGCACAGCGAGGGGCAGAAACGTTGCCCCCTCCCCCCCGCATCCCAGGGCCTTTCTCTTTGTCTCTGACCCGGTACCCTTGGCTGTCACCAAGGCGGTACCAAGGAGCCGCAGCGACTGGGGGGGGGGCGGGGGTCAGGTCGTCCAGGAGGCCGGACCTGACACGGGGGACCTTGATTTCCCTCCTGAGCAACATTTTGGTAACGAGATCTCCTGGCAGCCCTTCCACCTTGGGCTCTTCACCCACTGTGAGGCCGGGGCTGGGGCTGGGAGTGTGGGCTCAGGCTCAAGCTCTGAAGGCTTGGCACCAACCACAAGGTCTTGGTGGGGGGAGGGACAATCTGCCACGCGCCTATCACTCCCAATAGCTTAACTCAGGTGTGGACAGATGAACCCACCTGGGCAGGGATGCTGAGCAGATCCTAACAGGGACCTCAGTATTGTAAGAGTGCTGAGGGAGGAGCACCCCTTCCCTGTCCTCTAGAGACTCTGGGGGGGGGGGACTCTGCTCTCTAAGAAAGGGCATTTTGGGAAATGTCTTTCTGGAAGGTGTCAGAAGTGGGGTCCTGGGTGGAGGGCAAGGAGCAGGGGGTCAGGCTGTGTGCGGTTTGGATGTCTCCTTCACTAAGCTGATCTTAACCACGATGCAGACCATGTGCCCAGAGCATCAAGAGGCCATGTCCACTAGGAGCAATCCAGCACAGCACCCTGTCTGAGTGGACTGCGGCTGTGCAGGAGGGCAGGGCAGTGTCTAGAGTGGCTGAGGGTCTGTGGAAGGCCCCAGTGCTCAGCATCTGTGGTGTCAGAAACACCCAAAGGCTTTGGGCAGCCTCTGGTGGGGTCAGCTCAGGTTGTGGGGACTTGATGCTTCCTTAGGGACCATTCCCCTTCCCTCTCACCTGGCCATCCCATGCCAGGGGACCCACTCCCAAGTGCGCTGACCTGTAACCCACCAAGCATAAGACAGGCCAAAGAGGAAGGGCTGACTGCCAGGTCCCACTGCAAGGCCAGGACCTAAGTCCTCTGTCTCCTACCTGGTGCTCCTTCCATGTCTGGTGCTCTACTACTTGAGCCACTTCTGGATTTTTTATTTTTAATTGTGAAAGTAGGAGTGTCATGGACTTTCCTGCCCAGACTAGCCTTTGAACTGCGATCCTCACCTCTCAGCTTCCTGAGTAACTAGGATTACCGGTGTGAGCCACCAGTATCCAGCTTGTCAGGGCTGTTTGAGGTCATATTGCCTCTCTCCTCTTCCTTCTGCAGTTTGGGCTTCTTAGTGTCACCCCAGATCTAGGTGGGTCTGTTTCTCTCCTAAGAGGGTGGGGCCCCTGAAGTCCCAGCATTCACCCAGGCAAGCTGGGTGGAGGGAAAAGCTAATATGTAGAAGAAGAAGAATGTTCCAGAAGCTGGGGAGGGGACTGACCCACCTACCAGAGGCCATCCACTCCTCTAATTATCTCTAATGCTATTTGAGTGCTTACAATTTACCAGGTGTTAGTCTGAGAAATTTAGGTATAGAAAGCTAATAGATTATATACTATCATAGTCTTCATTTCAAAAATGAGGAAACAGGCAGAATGCAGTTCAGTGACTTTTCCCTGGGCCACATAGCTAGGTAACAGCAAAGCCAGGATTTCAACCCTGGCATGCTGACTCCATAACCTAGGTCCCCTAGTCTCAACACCACAAAGGGAGCCCTCAGCTCCACTGCCTGAATCCCACTTGCTCTCTACATCTGCACCAGGTGTTAATAACAGTCCCTGCGTGGCAAGGACTTGTCTGAGCCAGGGCCCTAGTCATAGTCTGAAGAGAAGGCCGGGGACTGTGAGTCTTGACCTGGTAGTAGTGTGACATGGAACTTGGAGACTGTACCTACCTAGGGCTGCCTAGCACAACTTCCCTGACCCTCAACTTCAGGCCATACGGGGTGTGTGTGTGGGGAGACTCCATCTAGCAGTTAGCTTCTGCTTCTGCCTAGTAGACTGAGAGACCATGAGGGCTGGGCCTGCCTGGAGCTGGCCACCAGGGGTTCAAATCCCTGCTCTACCATTCCCCCAGCTGCATGACCTCTACCAACCACTTAACCTTGTATATGAGCCTCAGTCCTCTCTTCTGAGATGCCAATAGGATTGCACTGGTGGCTCACGCCTGTAATCCCAGCTACTCGGGAGGCTGAGATCTGATGATTGGGGTTTGAAGCCAGTCCATGAGATGCTTATCTCCAATCAACTGCCAAAAAGCAGGTTGTGGATCTGTGGATCAAGTGGCAGAGTGTCAGCCTTGAGCAAAAAAGCCAAGTGAGAGGACAAGGCCCTGAGTTCAAGCCTTGTATTAGGACACACACACACACATACACACACAATCATAGGATGGTGTGTGTGTGGAGGGGAAGCAGATAGGGAATTCAGTGGCTTGATTCATGCAAAGCATCCAGTATCTGCTATACCACCAGCATCCGTTAGCTATTCATTAGCTATTCTCATTTGTAATTCGTATTATTAGTTTCCATGTAGACACGGACACAGGTCCAGACCTTCTTGGCTGGAAAGGGAGCTTGGAGCCCCTCCTGCCCGCCTGCGGAAGGGGTAGGTAGCAGGCACTTGTACCAAGGCCAGCGGAAATGTGATTGGGACCAGATTAAGGCACCAAACGCTGTCATAGCCAGGAGCTATTTTGCGTTCATTATCTATTTTTAAGCTGTCATTTGTTGGGAGCTTACCCCGAGCCAGGCTGGGCTGAGCCTTTGCTCTCCTGACCTAGTTAGTTCTGCTTCAACTCTAGGATGGAAGTGGGCTCAGAGAGGGGCAGAGCCTCATCTCAGGTCACCAGCCAGAGAATGCAGAGGCAGACTGGAATCCAGGCCTTTGGGATTTAGGGCTGAATGGGAAACCTGTGCCCTTTGCTTTCTTGTGTCCCCCCCACACAGAGAGGTACTCTCAGTCTCTGTGCATGGCCAGAGCTCCAGGACAATTTTCTGGAATAATTCAAGGGGCTTTTTTTTTTTTGCAGGGGGCGGGGGCTGGTCCTGGGACTTGAACTCAGGTCCTACATCCTGTCCCTGAGTTTTTGTGTTCAAAAGATAGCACTCTAACCAGTTGAGCTACAGCTCCACTTCTGGCTTTTTGGTGGTTAATTGGAGATAAGAGTATCACAGACTTTTTTTTACTGAGGCTGGCTTCAAACTGCAGTCCTCAGATCTCAGCCTCCTGAGTAGCTGGGATTACAGGCATGAGCCACTAGTACCTGGCTTTCAATGGGCTTTTGTTTGGCCTGGGGACCACAGATGGTGGCAATGGATGTGGAAGGGAGAGGAACTGAACGTCCTCCCCTTCTCTCCAGCTCCAAGTCTTGCTGCCCAGCCTCTGCCCTTGGTACCGTGGCCTCTGCCTGTCACTTCCTGCCCCAGTTCTATCCTCCAGACCAGGCCGGCCCTGGCAATCTCTAATGCTGTAAGCACTGAGGATCATAAGAGCAGAAACTGTAGGCTAAGATTTCCTTCTGGAAGCTCAGATACTTTCAGGGCCTCGGTTTCCCCATCTGCAAAGTAGGTGTCATAATGCTTAGGGTGAGAGACAAGAGAGGGTAAGCAGTCCTAGGACAGACAGCAGACTTCTGTAGGCCACCTTTGGTCCATTAGGGCCACTATTATTAGGGCTGCTACAATTGAGGGTAACCCGGGAAGGCTGCCTGGAGGCAGTAAGGTTAGAGAAGTATGTTCAAAGAGATTGGGCCCTAGAATGGCAAAGGGAGTCGGAAGGAGCTGGGTGTGGAAGGGACATCCCAGCCAGCGATGGCTCAGGTGACGTGAATGCCCAGGGTGGGGGGCACTGGGCCCATTGGAAACGAGGCCTCTGTCAAGTTCTGTGGGCTGCTTCAGGGGCACTGAGTCACTAGGCAGAGACCAAACCTCCCCTCAGGCCATGGCCTCTCTCTTTAGGGCTCCCGGGGCAGGCTCCAGCCTGGGGAAGGACAGAGCAATGGCTGATGGGTCTGTTCCATCCTCCAGGAAGAGACTCGGAGGGAGGGGAAGGCGCGGCCCTGCCTGGGGAGTGAGGCTCAGCCAGGGACCAACAGTGATGTGTGCGGACCAAGCTCCACGCAGGCCTGGCATGCAGCTGCTCAGTGGCCCAGGCCTGGGAAGCGGTGGCAGTGACCCCGTGCCCCAGGGCCCCAGGGGCTTGGGGAGTGTGGAGGAGGCCGGACTGCCAGTGAGGATGTACAAGCAGCCGTGGACCCAGCGTGCTGTGTAGTTGTAAGACCTTTGCCCTCTCTGGGCTACTGGGGAAGAGTGGGAAGACCTGGTCCTCCTTGCCCTCCCTCTGCCTGGAACTCTGCTCCCAAAGGGCCGCAGGTGTGCTCCCTTGCTCTTGGGGAGACACACTGGGGATGGATAACTATGGTGACTAGGGCTGGGACCCAGAGCCCTATGGACCAGCTCAGGGATCTGGATGGCCCTGCGGTGGGTGAGAGCAGCCTGAGGCACCTTGGGGACAAGCAGAGACCAAGATGGAAACTTTTTGCAGCAAGACAGGGTTAGGTTAGACATCAGAAGGAACCGAAAGGGGAGTTTAGGGTATAAATCGGATTGAGAAGCTTGCACAGGAAGGCAAAAGGCACCCTTGGCACACAGAGGGGGTGCTCTGATTGAACACAGGGGACCTCTGATTGGTACCTTTCTCCTTGAAGGGTCAAGATGCCCTCTTCTCGTTGTCATAACAACCAGGGGCCCCTCACTGCTATGGTCAGAGGAAGAGGGAGTAGGATCAGGCCCAGAAAGGGGCTCAGCCCTTCAGAAAGAAAAGAGTGTCCCCACAGCTCTCTTGGGAGGGGGTCTGCCACCAAGGCACGAGCTAGCTCTCCCCCCTCACCCCTAGCCTCCACCCTCCATGAGACTGTGTTTTTCCAGTTGCCAGTGGCGGTGACGTGGCTCGGTCCCAGCTGGGCTGAGCGCAGCCTGTGATTTCACCCTGGCTGGTTCATTACCTGATGTCTCCATGGCAACCTGTCTGTGACATCAAGGGGCTGAAGTCCTCTGAGGGAGACAGGCAACTTTGGCTGAGGCACCTAGTAACCCCAGACGGGTGATGCCCAGAGCCAGGGGGCCGGGGGCCGCCCCATCTCAGGGGACAGCCCCGCCCAAGCCGGGGCCCTGGGGGCCTTGGTATCACCTGCCACCTCAGTGCCAGCTTTGCTCCCTTCCCAGTCCACCTCCTCTGTGCTTGGCAGCTTCCTGGGTGGCCAGGAGCACTAGCTAGCCCTTCTCAGAATTCCCAGCCCCAGCCTGAAGCCAACCTTAGGTTTGCACAACATACAGAATTCCTGGAAGCTTTAAAAGTGAAGTGCATGGGCTGCCTGTGGCTCACACCTGTAATCCTAGCTACTCGGGAGGTTAAGATCTGAGGATGATAGTGCAAAGCCAGCTTAGGCAGAAAAGTCTGTGATACTCTTATCTCCAGTTAATCACCAAAAAGCTAGAAGTAGAGCTGTGGCTCAACTGGTAAAGTACTACCCTTGAAAAACAACAGCAACAAAACCCAAAACTCAGTGATAGGGTCCAGGCCCAGAGTTCAAGTCCCAGGTCTGGCACACACACACACACACACACACACACACACACACCTCTTTTTTCTTTGGAATAGGGTCTCACCATGTAGCCCAGGCTAGCCTGAAACTCTCTCTCCTCCTGCCTCAGCCTCCATAAGGCTGGGATTATAGACATACACTACTGCACTCAAACACACCTTTCAAACTTTTTTGGCTGGGTCTATAGGAATAAATACATTGTGCGGCGTAAGGGCTGCATAAGTGACGGAGGATCTACTTAGCAAGTGCAAAACCCTGTGTTCAAATCCCAGTACTGCCAAAACTAGAGAAAAATCTTGACCCAGAAACATTATGACCCAGAAAAATCTTCTCTGGGGCTTGAACCCAGGGTCAGCTTTTTGTTCAAGGTGGGCATTCTCCCACTTGAGCCACAGCTCCACTTCTGGCTTTTTGATGGTTTATTGGCGATAAGAGTCTCATGGACTTTTCTGCCTGGGCTGGCTCCAAACCATGATCCCCCGATGTCAGCCTCCTGCATCGCTAGGCTGACAGATGTGAGTCACTGGTGTCTAGTGTAGAAAAATCTTACCGTTCATGTGCGCACATTCACGTGATAGGCATGTAGCTTAACAGAAGTTCTGCAAAGCACTGGGTAACCCACCTGCCATGCTCTCCCGTGGGCTCCAGTTCTTCTTCAAACCCCTTTGGAGGTGCTGAGGTTTCAGCTCAGGGCTTTACACTTTCAAAGCAGGTGCTCTATCCCTTGGGTCACACTTTCATCTGTTCATTTCAGAGTAAATGAGATCAATGGCCTGCGTCACTGAAGCCCAGACTAGCGCAGGCCACACAAGGCTTAGGCCTCAGGGTCCACAGAGTCCTCTGTTCTGATCTCTTCTGCTGGTGTTTCTGGTAGGCAGGGGAGGCCAACCTTGACCCTGCCTTCCTTATCTCCAGTTCTCTCTCATACAGCCCTGCCTCACCCACCATAGCTCAGGCTGGTCTGTCCCTCCTTCCCTCCTTCCCTCCCTTCCTTCCTTCTCGCCCCTCTCTCTTTCCTTCTTTCTCTCTCCCTCCCTCCCTCCCCCACCCTGGTCCCGGGGCTTGAACTCAGAGCCTAGGCACTGTCCCTCAGCTGCTTTTACTCAAAGCTAACACTCTATCACTTGAGCCACAGTGCCACTTCCAGCTTTTTTCTGTGTATGTGGTACTGGGGAATCAAACCCAGGGCTTCATGCATGCTAGGCAAGCACCCTACCACTAAGCCACATCCCCAGCCTGCCTACCTGCCTTTCTTTTCTTCCTTTTTCTTTTCTTTTCTTTCCTTTCCCATCATGGGGCCTGAATTCAGGGCCTAGGTGCTGTTCCTTTTGCACAAGGCTAGCACCCTACCACTTTGAGCTACAGCTCCACCTCTTGTTTTCTGGTGATTCATTGGAGATAAGAGTCTCATGGACTTTCCTGCTCCAGCTGGCTTTGAACCATGATCCTCAGATCTCAGCCTCCTGAGTAGCCAGGATGACAGGCGTGAGCCACTGGCACCTGGCTCAGAACCTTTTTTAAATTTTGTTTTGTTTTTATTGTTTTGGTGTTTCTGGGTTTGAACTCAGGGCCTCACACTTGCTCAGCTAGTGCTCTACTGGTTAAGTCATTGCCACCACCAATCCTTTTGCTCTGGTTGATTTTGAGATAAGATCTTGCTTTTTGCCCAGACCTTATTTCTACTGTGGTGGGATTACAGGCATTTGCTATGGTGCTCCAGCATGTTCTGTTGAGATTGGGGTACTGAGAACTTTCTGTCCTCAAACCACGATCCTCCTGGTTTCAGCCTCCAAAGTCACTAAGGTTAGGGGTATGAGCTACTGCACTTATATGCACTTAGCTCCTTCTGATCGCTTCTGTGTACTAAACCCAGTGCAGTTTGGCTGAAACCTTTACCTGGCATCCAGATCAGTGCTTGCCTTGCCCCCCACTCTTTCCCTCCCCCTGTCCCCCTTCCCCCAGGCAGGAGTTGACTGCATTGAGGGTCACATTCTGGGTGGTTCTGCTGACTCACTGCCCTGTAGACACCCCCTCTCCTCCGGCATGTGGGGTCTGGCGTGAACCACAGAGAGGAAGAGCCAAGACAGTTTTATTTCTCTGGAGCTCTAACTGTGCCTGGCTGGCAGAAAGGTTCCCTATATGGCAGAAGTCCAAATATTCTTACCTTCCTCCTTAAAGGGTACCTAGTACATTCTGGGCCTACGACTAGTGAGCGGCAGACACCATATGCCGTGTGCTAGGTGTTGTGCAGAGCGATGCAGCTGAGGGTCAGGGCATGTTAAACAAGAGGGTTGTTGGGGAGATCATGTTGATGATAGCACTTGAACAGACCTGAATGGAGCAAGAGGGGGAACCTGCAGCCATCTGGGAGGAGAGAATCCTACAGGATGGGAGAGGACAACAAGTGCAAAGGTCCTGAGACAGCAGGGTACCAGAAGTGTGATCAGTGTAGCCAGACTGGAGAACTGGAGAGTGGGAGATCTATCTGGAAGAGCTGGCCCTCTGGGCTAGCAGGGGTGAGTTCTGCCCATCCATGAACATGGGATGTCTTTGCACTTTTTGCTGTGACTTCTTCAAGGTCTTCCTTCATCATTTTGTATTTTTCAATTGCAGCAATTACTTTCTTGGTTACAGTTTCTACTGGTACTGTGATTATCATTATGTTTTGTAGCCATTTTGAATAGGTTTGCTTTCTTGGTTTCTTAGCAAGAGTTTTTTGTTTTCTTCTCCCTCCCTTCTCTCCTTCCTTCCTTTCTTCTTTTCTTTCTTTTTTTCCCTAGTCATTCTGGGAACTGGACCCAAGACTTCCTTTTTTTTTTTTTTTGGTCGGTCGTGGGGCTTGAACTTTGGGCCTGGGCGCTGTCCCTCAGCTCTTCAGCTCAAGGTGAGCGCTCTACCACTTGAGCTACAGCGCCACTTCCGGTTTT